ACCACTTAATTTTTGTTGCAACTTGTGTTGCAGTTTTTCCTTTGCCAAGATAAAGAGCAGCTTTAGCTAAAAATGGTTTCTTCTAAATTGGTAATCATTCTTATATTCAGAAAGATATGCAAGTAAAGATTTTACAGTAGAATTAGGCCAAAGTTTTTTAATATTAATATCATCTTCAATATCACTAACTAAATCAATGACAGAAGATTTATCTTTAGAAGAAGATGCAATAATCGGAGATAAAGGTTTAATAGTTGGAGGTAAAGTTTTAGTAATAGGAGACAAAGGTTCGTTAATAGGAGATAAAGGCTCATCAATAGAAAATAAAGGTTTGATAATAAGAGACAAAGATTTAATAATAGAAGATGAAGATTTTATAGAAGTAACACAAGAATCACAAAAATTATTAGAGGTTGATAAACTATTTGCACATAAGTTAATAGCAGAAGTAATTGGCGTGAGTTGTTTATAAGGGTGATAAGAGTTATTTTTGTTTTTCTTTTGATATACCTTAAAAACTGGTTTGCTTTGAGCGATTTTTAAAGAATTAGGAATCATTTTAAAAAAAATCCAATATTTTAAAAAGCGAATTAATAGCCCTTTTTCTTATAGCCTTATATAAATATAATGTGGTTTATAAATAATATTGCAGTAACACTTAACTTTTAATTAGTAGAAAATAGTTTGGCTGATAAAGTGAGTTTATTATTGTAATAAAAAAAAGAATTGCCAAGACCTTTTTTTTATCTTATAGTTGTCCTAACTGGTCAAAATTTTAATATTTGCATTTTGCGCTATGAATATTCTGCAAAATTGCCGCGAATATTACTTAATTAATAATAGTGAGAGATCTTAATCAATAGCACTTATATTGAAAAAACATTCTTAGTTCCTGAAATTGATCATGCAAATGATTAATGCAATTGAAGTACATATATAGCTAATTATTCTAGCTTTGTATACTATATAGTAAAGTGTGCAATAGCTGGGCCTGGATTTTCAAGCCAGTAAATTAATTAGGTCAGACTTGGGCCGGGCTTGTAAAAATTGGTTGAACTTGGGCTAGTTCAAACCCGG